GAACTCTTTATTGTTTGCTTGCTTTTATTCGCAATACTGGAAATTTAACCCAGGGCTTTCATTTGCACTGAGATTTATCCTCAGACTTTTAAATTTTGAGACAGGGTCTTGCTAAATTGGCCAGGTGGGACTTCAGTTTGAATCCTCCTGATTCATCTTCCCAAAGTGCTAGGATTACAGTCTATGCCACCATCCTCAGCTGCCAAATAAAAATATTAACAATGCAGATCTTCAGGGAATACTACACAGTTGTCCCTTGGGATCCCCAGGAGAATAGTTCAAGGATCACTTTCAGATATCACAATTCTTGGATAGTCAAGTTCCTTATAAAAATCACCATGTATACACATCATCCCATACATTTGAAAATAAATCTTTAGGTTACCTAAAATACCTAACGTAACATAAATGGTATATAACAGGCTGTGATACTGTCTTAAGAAATAATGAGAAAGGAAAAAGCCCATATATATACACAGTAGAAGATATCTCCTAAAAACATATTTTCAATCTGAGGTTGGTTGAACCCACAAATATGGAGGGCAGATTGTATGTATACAATGAAAGAGCCAACTTGGCAAGACTGCAGGGCCTCACACTTCTGAGTACAGTTTTAAAGTTTCCATCTTGAAACATTAGTACATCACACATACTGTCCTGAAGGTAAAAGATTAGTAGTGATTAGTCTGTGTTTAACTCACCTAAATGCCTTCATGAAAATGGAAGCCATATGGGACTCCTAGTTATTTGTCTCTTCTTCAATGTTGATTTCACATAAGGGACAATAGTCCACAAACCCTTGAGTGTCTGCCACCTGCCTTGGACATGCTGGGTGTTGCAAATATATTGGTGAATAGACTCATATATATGAGTTCTGACTGAAAAATAGGGTGAATATTAAAACTTAAAAAGTTCTTAGGGTAAAAGATGCATTTCCATTCATTTCCCTCAAAATACTCTCCCTGGCTTTGAATATTATCCAATTATTGTTCTTACCATTTCCTAAAGTAGTTCTGAAAGTTATTTTGTATGCGAGTCTTTAGTTGCAATGTTGTGGCTGCCTTGATGCCCTGAATTGATTCAAAACATTTTCCTTCCACTGATAACAATTGATTTTGGGGAAGAACCAGAAGTCTTGCCATGTTGGATCGGGTGAATAAGGTGAGAAAGACACACTGTAATGCTTTTACAAGCCTGCTTTTCCATTGGATGACATTCAGCAGAGTATTTTTGATCACACTTAAAGACCCTTATGAAAAAAAAACTGAGAGCTGCTTCAGAAAGTGCAAAAATTATAAGTGAGTTTATCGTGAGAAGCATTTTAAAAAGGATTAAGTTGCAATGTATCTTTCATTCTAATTTTAAAAACTTAAACATACGCTGTGTTTTTTGATCATTCCTTATACTAAGCCTGCCACATAGTTCTTGCAATCATATCCCTATTACTTAGCTCTGTGAATGCAGGGAAGCTGGTTCATCCTAAGCTTTCTTTGTTCACATGTAAAATGGAGTAAGTTAGCACCTGGGAGAACTTTACAACATCCAGCCACTAAATACTAGTGAGTCTCACTATGACTGGAAACTTCTATATAATCTTATATGAATTTTCTGTAAACACAGTATAATGTTCACTTCGTCATAGACAAAAAGGATGCACTTTGACTGCTAAGCATTCTCAACTCCACTATGTACCAAGCCCTGCCAAAGCTACAGCCTATGTCTAAGACCATGAATCATCCTTGGTATGTGGCACAATATTGTTTGAGGGTGGGTACTTAGTCATAGTAAGCCTGTCTGTTCAGTATTGTGGAAGTTATTTTAGGTTAAAAAGAAATTGCTCTAATCCTGCAGAGATAATTTTTAAAAATCCAAAAATGAAAATAAAAAAAATTGCTTTAGAATATTTTTCTTAAGGTGGGGCCTGAAACAATCAGGAAAACAGATGAGGGAGTCTTGTTTTCACTTTATAATTATGTAATATAAATTTCATTTGTGAAAAAGAGGGACTCTATTGTTGAGTGCAACATTATATGGTTTTAGCCACCTTGCTTGCTACTACTTTCAAAAGGCACTTACTCTTCCACTAACAAAAATGCCAATAGATCCTCTGTATAATTTTGAGCAAGTTGCGGTCTCACTTTGAGCACTGGACAGATTGCATGGTCTTCTCGAGACAGACCTCGTAAGAGCTGCTCTGGTGCAGAGTATTTGGGGGTAAATTCTCATACGGTGTTGTTTAAATCCTACCATAATCTTGTAGGAGTTTCATGACTTTGCCTGTCACTTTTCTCTTTACCTCCAAAATTAAGAAATATCTATCTTGTAGGCATGTTACTTAGGCCTGGACAGAAGAATTATAAATCTCCTAGTATATAAAAAGTGAGAATAAATAGTAGCTGTAGTCCTCAGTATGGCGTTTTACTATAATTTCACATCTGAGTAGAAAATTCCTAAAACTGAGACTCTATAATGTATTCTTTTTGGTCTCTGGTTATGCGCAAAATTCTTTTCTCTCAGGGAAAACCAATTACAGGCAAAGTCAATATAAAATAGTAAAAGACGTACAATAGACGCCACTTCAACACCTACTGTAGGTGCCTAGAAATCTGTTACCGCTAAATCCAGGTGTTCAGTGCATATTTCCTAATAAACTTTTTCAGAAAGGAAAAACCACAACAACTGTTTATAGGAATCTAATGAAAACTGTGTTAAAGGTCTTGAGGGAAAATGCCCAAACGTGGCTATGGTTGGTTTTCTCAGGGACAGCCCACATGTGACATTTGAAAATATGAGGTCCTATTTGATGCCACCTGTTCAACTAGGAGCAGCCATCTGCCATTAACCAGACCCTACACTAACCAAGCAAACTTCTCATACAGTTTTGGTTCCCAGGATACCTTTTTCCACTGAAGAGAAGAGGTATGGTCTTATAAGCAACTTCTCACAAGTGTTAGACCTAGTGTAAATAACAGAGAAAATGATAACTGCCACGCATTTGTCCACAAACTATAAAGTATTTTAGCAAACATTTGGGTAGGGATTTCGCAAGAATGACTCGTAATTTTCCCCCTCAAAAGATTCAGCATCTCGATTGTAAAATAACCTTGACCCCACAGCCCTGGGGTAAAGGAGGGGCAGGGACCCAGTTCCTCTTCCTGTGCTGTTTCTTCTCCAGCAGTCCAGGATAAGTGCTTTCTAATTTGAACTAGTACGAAGTCTCTGGAGCATGCAGATCCTTCTGAAGTCCCTGGCCTGGAAGCCACAGGGCGGGGTTGGCGGTGGGGTGCCGACCACAGATGGCCTGGCATCAGTACATCTTCAAGCTCTTAATTCAGCAACTCCAGATGTTAGATATTATCCCCTATTTTACCAATCCAGCCTGTGCATTTTCATTCTCTGAGAAGCCTGCCCTCCACGAGAAATGTTTCTGAGGATCACTTTACTAAAATACTAATACTACAGCCATCCTTTCTGCAGCGAGGAAGGCGGGCCAGTGGGGTGCTGGGGATAACTGGTCACGACTGCTTTTTCTAATATAGGAACCACAAGGGTCTCGTAGTGGACCCTCATTCACCTTGCAGGGCCGGCCCCCACACGCACGCACCTAACGCTCTGTTCTACGCATGCTGCGTCGCGCGCGCAGGGTGTTGCGCGTGTCGGGGACCGAGCGTGGTCCGGGCGCGACTGGCCAGGCATCACGTAGGCGCTCGCGATGGGCGGGGCGGCACCCACAGCTCCCCAACCTGCGGCACCCGCGGCGGCCCCGCCCGGCTCAAGGGCAAAGGGAAGGTCACTCGCGGAGTGGGCAGAAGGCGAGGGCTCTGGGCTCAACCCCTGAGCATGCCACTGCGGTGCTCACGAGGAAATGAGGTATGGGGCCTCCGGACCCACGGGGGCCGAGGGAAGAAAAGGTGATAAAAACCAAAACCAAGCTCCGGGAACCATTCTCTAGCCTGCTTGGTCTGGAAGGCTGCCAGGGCGTCTTCGCCTGAGGAGCGCTGCTGTCTGCCCTCACCAGAGATTAACAGGCATCTGGAAACCCCAGAGAACTGCGGCGCCCCCTGGAGCGCCCAGAGCGAGAAGTGGGGGACCGTGGACTAGTCATCCCTCTCCCTTCTCCTTTAAATTTTAGATTCTCTTAGTGAATACATGCCGAAGGGCCCAGGGTTGGGTCCCTTCCGCTTTGTAATGAGCCACCGCGTTGGGGCGAAAAGGAAGCCTGAAGCCCGCGCCCCGGTTGCTGGTGACGTCCGGGAATCCCCGCTTCGCGGTCTTTCCCGTCTAGTGGAGGTTGGCGGGGAGGGCCTAGTGACCCATTTTAGTTTTCGGTTTTGTTACCCGCCGGAAGCCGACCAAAGATATAAGCGGGGAAGGAAAACCTTTTTTTAAATCTCCCAGCGGAAACGTGAGGCGTTGCAGCACCGCCAAGGGGAGACCCTCACGCACCCCCAGCACATCCCGCAATGCAGCAGCGGGGACTCAGCACCCCGCGTGGGGCGCCAGACGACAGGCTGTTCGCCTACAACCTTTCCTGGGCTGGGCTGGGCAGGGGTGGGGCTGGATGACCCAGCGCCGGGCGGGTGCCGCGGCACCGGCATGACCGCGCGGTACCTAAGCTTTGGTAGGGTCGCAGGGCTCCAAAATATTACGATTCAGATGCCGCGTGACCTCCTGGGGCTGAGGGTTGTCCTCAGACACCCCATTGTCATTCTCAGTGAATGAAATGAACTTCGAAGGTGTAAAATTAATTTATCTTCCTAAGGGTCACACCGCCGTCTCCCTAGTCTTCCCCATCCAACCTACCGCAATGGGGCCCGGGCGCCCGCTTCCGCCAATCCTCAAGTGCCCTGATGTTTCAGGGCGCAGGGGCTTCTCCCTGGTTCCCCCCTGTCGCTTTACGCAGCACCCCACCCCTTCTCCCTGATTCCCTGGCGACCCCCTACCCCCAGCATCTCTCTCCCCTCTCGCCCAGGCCCCAGAGACCGGCGGGCTGCGCGCACCTTGGGCATCTCCGCCGCTGGTGAGCACACCGATGGCCTTCCCGGCCCCGGAAAGGTTCTCCAGGAACTTCGGCAAGGAGCCCCTGGAGGTCGAGGAAGAGCCGGCGGCCATGGTGAACAGCCGGAGGGTCACAGGATGGCCGGTGCGCAGCAGGCAGTGAGGACCTGGCCCACGCGCGCCAGCCAGCGAACCGCCGCCCCGCCCGCGCCCGCAGGGCCCGCCCCCGCCTCTCCCCGAGCTCCAATGGGCCGCGGCGGGCGGGGATCTGCCGGGCGAGGCGGGGGCCGGCAGGGCGGGGCGACGGCGATCTGGGAGGAGTCCAGCGGGGGGAGCCGGATGAGCCGCTCAGGAGGGCATCGCACTTAGGGCGAGGTGGTGGATTGTGCCACAGGTGGGAGCCGGCGGGAGTCTACCGGCGGGGAGCCCTCTGGTGGACTGGAGCGCAGCAGCGCAGCGCAAGTTCCGCAGGTGGGCGCAGCCGGCGGAGACCCCGCGTGCGGGTGGCTCTAGCAGGTCCCTGAAGCTCTGGCTGCTGGGGACAGGGGATTGTGTCAGCCGCAGCACACGCATGCCTCCCGCTTCCCGCAGGATTCTTTCTGAGGGCGGCGCTCGGAGCAGTGGAGTACCCCAGATTTTACCTCCAGCCTGGGGTCATGGCCAAATAGCCAAGTCCTCAAGTTGCTGGGAAAAGGTGGGCGTCACTAGCTAGACAACTGCAAAACTGTCATTTCCCGGGCCGTCGTAAGCACCCAGCGCATCTGGGGCCTTTAGCCCCACGCTGGGAGGAGCGAAGGAAGTGGTGCGACCCGCGTGTCTACCCTGGGTACTGGAGAATGTAAATGCAGCAGGAAAAGGCGCGGCAGGCAAGGCTTGGGGAGGCAGCAAGAAAGCCGTCCCTACCTGTGGAGACCTGGTTTTGTGTTGTCAGGTCGCTGATGGCCCCGCTGGAAATTACAAATGCTGAAGTATCTATACTCCAGTGTCTTGTGTGATAGTCAAAAGGTTAATTTTGATGGAGCTTCACTGAGCGCTAGTTACGGTGCTGTGACAGGTGGTCCTCGTCGGAAAGCAGCACGAGACACGCCCAGTTCACTCCTCGAAAAGGAATTTCGTGAGTGGTCACGCTAGACGGTTGACGATGGGGGTAGCAGTGCCTGAGTCTCCTTCCTAAACAATAAATGTTTCCTGAACTGGAAGGAAGGAAAGAAGGAAAAAAGAAAGCAAAGATTTTGAAATCAACTAGCTTTTCACTTGAGAGCAATCATAGGCAAAAGATGGAACAATACAATTTTCTGTTGGATGTTTACCTCATCCTCCAGCTCATCTTTCTGAACATCAAAAATCAATTGTAGTGTCAGGAGCCTGGCAAGCTCGAGGTCCTAAGTTTGATTTCCGGTTGAAAAGGAAAAAAAAAAAAAAAAAAAAAAGGGAGGGGGTCCGAGGATATAGCTCAGCTGTACAGTGCCTGCCTGGCAAGTGCAAATTAATTCATTGTAGAGGAGAGAAAAACTGCTGTGGATAATGTGCCTCTCCTAAGGTCCATTTCTGGGGATGGAGCCAGGGAATATGTGGAACATGTATTTTTAACAAGCTTTCTGGGTTATTCTGCTGAGTGCAGAGCTTGAGAACTACTAATGGATTGAGCCTGAGCATTATTCTTCTAAAAATGCAGAGGAAAATCCCAGGTGTTTTGAAGATGGCATGAAGTGGGTGTGCTTTACCTCCCTAAGGTAGGAAGGGGTTTCCAGTCTAGCATCTCTCCACAGAAATTTCCAGAAGCTAAGGCCCAGGATTTGTGAAGTAGGAGTGCTAGTTATTAATGGCTTTCTAGACTGATACTATTTTAAAAAGATAGTGCACTCTGACATTTATCTTAGGCAAACACCCTTTGTCTTCTGATAAAATTAATAGTTTTATAACTTAGAGGATTGGTTGTTTGTCATCATATTGTCTGCAATGTAGAAAATGATAGATACACTCTAATATTCAAACATGACAGTGAGTTCAATAAATTATGGCAAAAATATGCACTAGAGTAAACATTCAGTGCTATTACAGTTAAGAAGATAAATAAAAACTGACGTGGAAATATGTCCAGGATATGGAAGTTAGTGAAAAGGCAGACTTAGAAACAGTATGAATATATATACATAGGTATGTACTGTAAATGAATCTAGGTATTTTAATTTCCTTTCTTTTGCTTGTTTTGGGTAGTGTCTTTATTCTTCTGATGAACAAGTATTGGTTTTGGAATAAAACCAGTAGCATAGTGAATTTAAAGCAAATATAGAGTAGTCAGGCCCTCAAATTTAGGGATATTTTTCAAAAATTTGAGTCTGTCATTCAGGTAGGTAATTCCTCTACAACTATTCTGATGAGCTGCAACCCTCTGCTCAGGTGATCAGAATATTTAATGTATGAAAATAGCTATGATAGAAAAACCATCATTGTTTTTTTTTTCTTTTTTTCTTTTACACTGCAGCTGGAGCTTTAAAAAAAATTTTTTTTTTTGTACTGGGGGTTGAACTAGGTTGTGAGTTCAATCCCTGGTACCATCAATCAATCAATCAATCAATCAATCAATCCCTGGCCCTAAAAAATTGTTTTTTACACACTTTGGCTTTACAAAAGAATTATCAGATTCCAGAGAGAGAAGAAATGGCATTTTGTGTTGAGCAGAATGGGCATGTCTGTTTGTTCTTTATTACTGCTTAACATTCCCTCAAGCTTTCATAGCTCATACCAGCAGACACTTATGGCACAGGAATATGTCACAGGAATTCTGTAGGCCAGGAATGCAAGCAAGCTTCATGTGGTCTTTTGCTTTGAGGCCTTTGGAGGCTGCAGTAGGCACCCGGGTGTGAGGTATCATATGTAAGATCAAAGGAAAGAGCCACTTCCAAGCTCACCCCTCTTGGCAGGATTTAGTCCCTTGTAGGCTGCTGGGCTGAAGATCATGTACAATGGGAATGACTCTTGTTAGGTGGCTGCTCCATCAGCAAAATGTGTGACAAAATCTGGGGAAGATCAGGCCATCAATAGAACTCACAGCCTTTGTAATTGAGTCTGGTAGAAACATGCCACTTCCTTTCCTAATTCTCATTAAAATCAAGCCCTGAGTCTAGCTCTCACTTGGAGCATGAACATCAGGGAGCAGAGATCATGGGGAGTCATTCTTTGGGGTGCTTGGGACAAAGTGAAGTAGAACACAGAGGGAGAATGAATGCCTTCCCCTCTGTAGAGACTATAGGAGCTACCCGGTCTAAGATCCTGAAAGGAGAGCATGCTGTTCACTGTGGGGCAGATTGGACACCACTAGAGCCACACCTCAAGGTGCCCAGGGACTTTGAGTCACCCATGTCTGCTGACTGGATTTCACCAAGTTGGAGCTTCTCCTTCACATAGTGTCTCCATGTATATGGGGAATTGGCATCTCACACCTGCGGGGACCATCCCTGGGCTCAGACTTCTATCTTCTAGTGTATACACTTCCGCTTGACTTGCTCACCCCTATTTCTAGTGACTCTGTCTGGCAGCTGTTTAGGCTAAAATCTCTGGCCATTCATCAACCACTGACATCTAAATCCTTCTGGTGTGCTCTTCTGGGATTCTGATTCCCTGTGGTACCATCTGAGCTTGGAGCATAATTCCTGACAGTTTCCTTTCTGGTTCCCTGATCTGACTGTGCCTCTGCTTGCTGTGTATGTCCTTAACAAGGAAGCCCAAGTAGGCCTAATCAGATGGAATTAAGAGCTCCAGCTCTCTTCCTTCACCACCATTCATGCGATGTAAACACCCCTTGCCTGCCACTTCAACTCACCCCAATCTTCTTCCATGCCTTTCTCTAATCCCACCTGCCCCTGCCCATCTCTGAAATCCATCCAGGCAAATGGTAGCCTTGATGGCCTCAGGCCACTGCACCTAATCTTTCCTCAGCTGTAAGAATTCCTCTTCCACACTCAACCTGCACACTTGCCTCAGATCCTCAATAAAGGTCACCTTCAGGGTGAGACCTTCCCAGATCACTCTTTGTTATGGCTAGATGGTCCCCCAAAGTGTCATGCTATCCTAGGTAGGAAGTTGAAGGTTACGGTATGAATGTGGATTCAGGGTATGATTCTGGGATTAAGAGGGTAGATAATGGAAGGCCAACCCTGAATGTGGATGGTGCCAATCAGGTTTACAGCATGCATGGAATACAAAGGACAAAGAAGTCAGCTCTGCTGTTATTTGCAGCTTTGCTGTCTTCTGCCTGTTTGCCATGGACAGTTTCTCCTCTATTATGCCTCTCTGCCATGCCACCCTGCCATGGATCCAGCTGACTACGGACTGAAACCTCTACAAATTGTAAGCTGAAGTAAAACTTTTCTCCTTTAATGTTAGGTGTTGGGTGTTTTGTCTCATCAATGAGAAAAGTAACTAAGACACTGTTTAAGAACAAGCAGCCTGAACAGACTTTCCTCTGTCGTCCCTGCTTCCTTACAAAGGACTGGTAGCTAGTGTCTCACAATAGTTTATTATTATTATTAATTATTATTATTATTATTGCCTGTTTGCCTTGTTTCTTGGCAGGTTTATCCCAGTGGCCTCTTAAGTGTCATGAATACAAAGATCTTTGTTTATTTATTTCTGAGCCTCTGACAAGGCTTGGCACTAAAGTGGGAGTATTTGCTGAATGAATGGATGAATGCATGAATGAATGAATAAATGCATAGGGAGTTGATCTCATTGGAGAGGGTAAGAAGGAAAACTCTCTGCTATAGTTCACCATTCCTGAGGAAAGAGCCATTGCTGTGGACAAGCTGGATAGTTCCTCCCAAATTTGGCCATGTGCCTATTGCCACATACCCTAACATAATCACATGTCACCTGGGGTGGTACTTATGAACCTTTATTCCATTATTAGAAACAATGGAGTTTCCTCTTAATATTAATATATTCAGGGCAATTTCTCATTCTTAAGTCCCCAACATTTTTGAGTCTTTGAATGCTGTGTCCGTTTCCATGCCGTGCTCTCCTATTTGGGTATCTTTTAGTTTAAGAAGAATTACTTCAAGGTTATAAGAAGGCAAGAAAACAACATTAGATGAATTCTGAAGCCCTTGCCCGCCTCTTCATTCCCACATCATTCTTCCTCTTTCCAGCTTGGATTACCCTGGGCAACTAGTTTGGGTATCTGAAGATTCTGACATCAAAATTAAGACTGTAAGCAG